CACAGTTCCCCAAAGCTTGTCAGAGTGTTTCTGCCGCAGGGGACCATCACAGTCAACCTTCTGAAGCCAAACACCCAGTTCCTCGCCCAGGGTCATGAACGGCCTGTTTTCTTAGCTTCTCAGACCTTCACTGAGAATAGCAATTAGAAGGGGGCTCACCCCCTAAAGCAATGGGGCTATTGAGGGGAGGAGGGGGAAGAGAGCCAAGGAACAATAAGGAGTGATCTTTGAAAAGATCTGGGTCAAGTTTGACAGACACCCCCACCCCCTACCCCCCCCACCCCCCGTCCAGATCATCAGCGAGGAGAGGTTTAGGCAGCTGGAGAAGATCAAGACGATCGGCAGCACCTATATGGCTGCCTCCGGGCTGAATGCCAGCACCTATGATCAGGTGGGCCGCTCCCACATCACTGCCTTGGCAGACTACGCCATGCGGCTCATGGAGCAGATGAAACATATCAACGAACACTCTTTCAACAATTTCCAGATGAAGATTGGTGAGGGCCTGGGTCTTGCTGCGTTTCTCTGGGGTCAGTTTGTGGGTCACGGGTTTGCCATCAGGACTTCTTTGGATTTCTACCTCCCACCTTCATGTCAGGTTTGAGGCTAAGGACAAAGACCATTTGTTTTGAGTCTTTTTCTATATTCTGGGGTCTTGTCCTAGATATTTTGAGTGCGTTTTAATTCTCACATTAATCACCCCCCCCCCCCATAAGATGAGGCTGATGCTCAGAGATTAACTCGGCAAAGGCCGGAGGACGTCTAAAGGCCACTGCCTGGTATCTGTGTGTGGTCAGTCTGATAGAGGCACTTCTCGAATGCACTGGTGGAAGGCAGTGATTAGTAGCATAGGTCTGGAGTCTGGCTTGACTTCCCACAGGTCTCTTTACTGGCTCAGGAAGTTACCCCAATATCTTTCTGTAAGATGGGGCAGCAGCAATATGAGCCCTGAATGCACAGGCATGCACTCAGCGTGTACAGCATGACAGCGTGGACTGTCTGAACTCCCTACAGCCTGTACTCTGGGGAGCTACCTCAGCTGTCATGCCCAGACTGTTTTTTAAAACCACCAGAAGAATTGTCCCCTTTCCACATTTTTTCCCCGTTGGATCCTCCTCAAGGTGCGAGGAAAGATGAATTCCTGGAGTCGCCCTGGATCATCCTAGCCTCAATCTCTAGCTCTCTGCTTTTGCTATTATCTCTACTTCAGGGTTGAACATGGGTCCGGTTGTGGCAGGTGTCATTGGGGCCCGGAAGCCACAGTATGACATCTGGGGAAATACAGTGAATGTCTCCAGTAGAATGGACAGCACAGGGGTTCCTGACCGAATACAGGTGAGGAACGGGGGCAGGGTGGCTGTCTTCTATGGCTGTTGGGGCAGGGACTGGGGGAGGGGAGCTAGCTTGATAGAGAACTCTATTTGGGCTTCTTGCCAATACATCATTGAGGATTCCAGGCTAAGCAGACTCTTTTCCCACTTCCCCAGGTGACCACGGACCTATACCAGGTTCTAGCTGCCAAGGGCTACCAACTGGAGTGTCGAGGGGTGGTCAAGGTGAAGGGCAAGGGGGAGATGACCACCTACTTCCTCAATGGGGGCCCCAGCAGTTAGCAGAGTGCAGTGAGATTCAGCTAAAGGGACCAAGGTGGGCATTGAGTGGACTTCCTGCTCACTGGGTGGAGCTGCTGCAGGGGCCACTGGGCCTCCAGACCTTCCTGACAGCAAAAGGGACCACCCCAGCAGGCTGTGCTTGGACCATGTTCGTCTGCCTTCAAAATGGCAAAGGAGGGGACGCCAAGAGGATTATCCAAGTGACTTTCTCAGCTGGGGTAGGGCTGTTCGCTCTCCTCATTTTTGGAAGCAGATGGGAGGGCGGCAGAAGAAGCCAGGTAGCCCTCCTGTCTGAGAGAGTCAAATGGCAACTCGCTATGCCTACTGTTCCCCTGTTTGGGCAACAGGCTCAGGGCTGGGTCATTCCTTTCTCTATTTTTCCTGGGACTCTTTTGTACAAAGACTGGGGCGGGCATGAGGAATGCCTATTCCACGCTTGCCTTTGCCTGACTGTCCTCAGCACCGGTCCTGGGCACTCCCAACCCCAGCCAAGTTTCCTTCCTAGGCACAAAGCAGAGGAAGGAGGTACTGTGGGGACCTAGCTCTGACCACATTTCAGGGGAATGTTTCCATTTGCCAAACCCTAGTCCCATGATCTGTCCCCAAAGGGGAACAAAGGGACCTCTGATAGCGCAGATTTAGCTCCAGTTCCTGCACGCTCCAGGGAAAGGGGTATCTGGCCTCATTGGTACTGTGAAAATGACCAGCCAGAGAGCAAACCTATGTGTGGGGACATCAGAAGATCAGGAACTAGACATTCACCTGCAGTTGACGAAGAGTGCAGGCAGCCAGGGAGGAGGATGGCCACACTGACCTGAGGTTCCAGTGTGGCCAGGTCAGCGCCCTTGGCTGGAATGCTTCACTTGCTGTGTGCTGGCAAGGGGGCATGGAGCATCTCTACACCATGTATTGCCAAATAGAAAAGAGTCAGGGTTCCAAGAAAGATGACCCTGACCCCAAACTTGGCCTCCTAAGTCTGGCACTAGGGAGGGCCTGTGCATTTGTGTAACTGTGTGTGCATGTTGCTCTTCGTGTGTGTATGTTTTCTAGGTCTCTGTGTGTCCGTGTGCTGCAGCTCATCAGCTCCCTACTCGGGGCTGCCTCTCTTCTGGTGGCCTCTGCCTTCTGTTGTTAAGGCGGGGTTTTCTGTTTCAAGGGATGGAGAGAAAAGCCCAGGTTGCACAGGAGTGGGATGGGGTTTGGGAGCAAAATGAAGAGTGGTCTGGGGAGAGGAGTCCTTGTTGTGCCAAATCCCTAAGTGCCATTTGGGGGCCACTTGTGCAGTATGACTGTCTGTCTCCCTGCCCAGTGCAGGGGCCCCAAGTACCTGCTTAATCTCTAGTGTTCCTTGCACTTGAACTGTTGAAGGTTTGTGAGGCGGAGGCTCAGGCACTCCCTGGGTACCTCAGCTTGTCTCTTGGGGTATGCTATACTTTCTGACTGGGATAGTGTGGGATCGATCCCTCTGAGGACCCAGATTTTGGTACTAGAGGATGGAGCCTGGGAAATGTAAACTTGCCTTTCCCAAGCCTTCAGCCTGAATCTAGCATGGCTAGTCTCTAGTTCTGGCTCCCATCCCAATCCTCATGAAACCTACAAGGATTGTACTATGTTCTCTTCCTGTCCCTGCCTTCCTTTTACTCCCTGCAGCCTCCTTGACTCTGGGCTGATTTAGTTGGTGCCTTGGTTTGTCTGTCTGCACCTGTTTTAAGCCAGAGGCATACACCTCAGTTTCGATTGAAGATCACTTTGTCTTAGACACTGACAAGGAGAAAGGGTTCCTTGGGGGAATGGGAGGATCGGGCAGAACTCTGGCCCTGCCTCATGCTTCTGCCACTAGTTCTCTGCAGAGGCTTGGTTTCTGGCTTGGTACCGCCTTCCTGGAGATCTCCATATTTCAGTTGATGGATCACTGGGCGCTTGATTGGCCAAGGCAGGGAAGAGGAAAGATTAGCTGGTCTAGGCAGAAAATTCCTCCATCTCCCCCAGCTATATCCCTGGATAGGAAGGGACTACTTGATGCCATCTGGGTGGGAGTGAGTAAGCCAGTATGGGAAAACCTCAGCTTTGGGTGATCTGTCTGCTTCTTGCCAGGTGGGAGGGGCCTGTCCACACCCTGGCTCCCTGTACCACAGTGCCAGCCATGTCCTTCCCCTGAGTTACTGTTGCCTTTCTCCTCACTGGTTGGTGAAGGAGTTGGGATAACAGGAGGCCATGGGCTTTGGTTTTATAATGTAACCACTGTGGGAGTGGGGGAGGATGGTGTACCATGTATTTCAGTGAAATATTTAATATATTTAAATATCAATAAAATCAAACTCTTTGTAAAAAAAAATGCCCTGTTCTCTGCAGCTCTTTGGGCATTGGGTTGGGGTCAGAAGTGACAAAGCTTGGTACAGCTACCCAGGTTTTATCCCTGAGATCCCTAGGCCTCTCTCATCTGTGAAAACTTCCTGTGGTTTTCTGCCTGTCAGAATGAAGCTGCAATGTCTTCAGAGGGTGTGGCCACTTAAGGCTTTTCACAAGTGTGTCTTTCCAGATGTTGACTCTGACCCCGTCATGCATTAGATGCTTATTCCCAGATATTGTCTCTGACCCCTGTCATGCATTAGATGTGTCTTCTCAGATGTTGACTCTGACCCTGTCATGCATTAGATGTGTCTTCCCAGATGTTGACTCTGACCCTGTCATGCATTAGATGTGTCTTCCCAGATGTTGACTCTGACCCCTGTCATGCATTAGATGTGTCTTCCCAGATGTTGACTCTGACCTCCGTCATGCATTAGATGTGTCTTCCCAGATGTTGACTCTGACCCTGTCATGCATTAGATGTGTCTTCCCAGATGTTGACTCTGACCCCCATCATGCATTAGATGTGTCTTCCCAGATGTTGACTCTGACCCTCGTCATGCATTAGAGATGCATCTTCCCAGATGTTGACTCTGACCCCCGTCATGCATTAGATGTGTCTTCCCAGATGTTGACTCTGACCCCCATCATGTATTAGATGTGTCTTCCCAGATGTTGACTCTGATCCCTGTCATGCATTAGAGATACATCTTCCCAGATGTTGACTCTGACCCCCGTCATGCACTGGGTCAACACCTCTGTGGTTGTTCTCTCAGTGCTCCGGTCCCCTCACTCCTCTCATTCTGAGATCTGACCTCGTCAGGAATCTCACATACCTGCTCTCAAGGAGTCAGGGCCGTAGGATGACTCCACTGCCTCCCACAGCCAGTGCGAAGAAATGCCTTTTAGTTCGGTTTGTTTATTTCACTTCCCCTACCACCTCGATTCCCCCTTCTCGTCTCCACCTGAAGACTTGGCCACCCTGACCCCTCCTTGCCCTCCCTCCAGTTTTCATCTTGTCCTGCAGGCATGTCCTTCTCAATACTGAGTGAAGGTTTTGTCGTTGAGAATAGAGTGATCCATATATCTGGAAAAGAGAAAATGTCTCGAGATTCAGCCAGGTCAGGCTAAAGGGAAGGGAGCATCCTTAACAATGGTCCTCATGGCTGCCTCTGTACGAATGGGCAGGGGTGGTGAAGTAGAGCTGCCGTGAGGACGCTGGTTGGAGTAGACTTCAGGAACCCACAGGAATGCTAGAGACATTGATTCTGTGCCTGTTCAGAATCGCACCCATAAAACAAAGCGGACAGATCTCAAACTACTGTGTGGAGACCACACTGCCCAAGATCTGAGGCCCACTCTCCCTGATAGGACTTAAACCTCTTCTCTGATTCTGAGACAGAGTCTCTCTATGTAGTTCTGGCTTTCCTGGACCTCTATATAGACCAGGCTGGGCTTGAACTCCCAGCTCACAGAGATCCACTTGGCTTTGCCTCCTGAGTGCTAGGATTAAAGGTGTGCAACACTACACCCAGCTTATTCTTAGCTCTTAAGTGGAGCTTAACAATAGGTTTCATTGTGAGGAGAAAAAACTTCCCCAAGCCCCCTACCCTGACCTTTCTCAGCCTAACCTGGTCATCGGGCTTTTAATAAGACAATGGCGTCGACACTGGATCCATGGTATGGTTTTCTCTGGACGCACACTTGAATGGTCGGTCCACCAGAAGCTGAAGTTCTGAGAGTCGGTCACTGGAACTCGAAAGACCTGATTGGGGACTGGTTGAGTTGAAAGAAAGGCAGGTGATTGATTGAATTTCGCCAGATTCCCTTGTTTTTTCTGTCTCCAGATAAAAAGCACAGTCTAGAAACTTGCTGTGACCAGTGCGAGAGGTCCTGGGAGGGTGTTCACTATACCCTGTTTCCCTTCTGGATTCCAGCATCTCACACACTTCCTGGTCAGCTGGCTTAGTCTTGGTGTTTCCTGCTGCTAAGTAAACCTGTCTCTAAGATGTGCCAAGATGGAAAATAAAGTCAGCTCATTGGGAAGTGTACAAGAGAGGTCTACTGACTCAAGTGGTGAAGTTTTGGTATTTGGAGACAGGGTTTCTCTGTGTAACAGCCTTGGCTGTCCTGGAACTCACTCTGTAGACCAGGCAGGCCTTGAACTCAATAAGATCTGCCTGCCTCTGCCTCCTGAGTGTGCCACCACCGTGCGGTTCAAGGGCCTTTTCTGAATTGTCCTCTCCCATTTAATTTCCCTTGTCTGAAATAATGCTTTTCTTTGCTCACTCCAGGGAATTCCCTGAAACTAACCAATGGTACCACTCCACTTTGAGATGCTACACACAGGTGTTATCAAGTTCCTGTTGCTCAAAGTTTGGTGGAAGGTTTGTGTGTGTGGAGGTGTAGAAGGTGCTTGTGTGTGTGAAGGTGTACCTAAACAGCTACATGTGTATATGTACATGTGTACCTACAGGTATATATGGAGGGCAGAAGTTCCCAAGGAGCTATCCAGAAAAGTCCATCACTAGGACCTGGGGCTCAATGATTAGGCCAAGATGGCTGGGCAGCCAGCCGGCCCCCAGAGATACACCTGTCCCCTCCACAGCTCTGGAGTCGTGAGTGTACACTTCCGTGCCTGGCTTTTTACATAGCTGTTGGGGATTAAACGCAGGTCCTTATGCTTGCAATATAATCTGAGCTATCTCCTGAAGGTGTGTGTGCACGGGTGTGCAGGTGTGCTCATTCCTTCCTGTCTGTGCATGTGGAGATCAGAGGTCATGTTCAGCGTCTTCCTCTATTGCTTTCCATCTGATGTTTTTATAATTATTTAGTTACTTTGGTTTTTGAAACATGACCCTGGTTGTCCTGGAACTTACTATGTAGACCAGGCTGGCCTCAAACTCACAGAGATCTTCCTGCCTCTGCTCTGCCAACTTTTTTTTTTTTTTTGGTTTTCTGAGACAAGGTTTCTCTGTAGCTTTGGAGCCTGTCCTGGAACTAGCTCTTGTAGACCAGGGTGGCCTCGAACTCACAGAGATTCGCCTGGCTTTGTCTCCCAAGTGCTGGGATTAAAACTGTGTGCCACCGTTGCCAGGCCAATTTTCATATTTTTAAGATCGAATTGTGGCCTATTATTTTCTGATTTTCTCTATAGTTTTGAGAATTTTTTAAATCCTTAATTGACTAAATGTTACATTTTTACCTAGCTGTTTTTCTATTAGTTAATAATAAACTTTAAATTATTTTTGCTATTAGAAATAACTTAAGTAGCCGGGAGGTGGTGGCACACGCCTTTAATCCCAGCACTCGGGAGGCAGAAGCAGGTGGATCTCTGTGAGTTCGAGACCAGCCTGGTCTACAAGAGCTAGTTCCAGGACAGGCTCCAAAACCACAGAGAAACCCTGTCTCGAAAAACCAAAAAAAAAAAAAAAAAAAAAAAAAAAAGAAAAAGAAATAACTTAAGTGCCCCTTTCCTTATCTTGCCTATTTTGATCTCTAAAGTTTTTTTTACTTTAATTTTGGCCTAACCTGTGGTACAGGCCTCTAATCTCCATTACTTGGAAGGCTGAAAAAGGAGGACCAAAAGTTCAAGCCTGACCAATTTAGTGAAAGCCCATCTCAAAATAAAAATACAGAGAAAGAGTGGTGACAGAGCCAGTGGTGGAGTGAAATGTATCTAAAGACCCCGGTCAACCCCCACTTCCTGGGGGTACGAATTTCAAGTAATTACAGAGACCCGGAGATAGAAGAGACACTACTGGGAGATTCCCTGACTCTTACTGGTGACATCATAGTACCCTGCCGCAACTGGAACATTACTATACACGGACAATACAAGGCAATTCCAAGCTGTCTTGGAATTGTAAAGGATAGTCCCCAAGCATCCAGAGTTGCCATTCTGTAGCCTCTAGTAGTGATCTGTTCATTTCTGTACACTTGTCACGATAAGAGTGTTAGATAATGGTATACGGATTGTGAGCTTTCTTCTAATGAAGCAGAACTGGAATTGACTCGATGAGGAGGGAAACGTGAGGGAAAGAGGTTGAGCAGAGCTTGAGGAATGGCTTCGTGTGTGCATGTGTGTCTGTGGAGTGTTCGCCACACGTGGGAGTCTGTGGAGGCCAGAGGAGAGTGTTAGATCCCCTGGGGCTAGCATTCCAGGCAGTTGTGAGCTGTCGTGTGGGTGCTGGGAACTGCACTCTGGGCCTGTGGAAAAGCAGCAAGCGCTCTTCCCCATGGAGTCATCTCTCCAGCTCTGAGAACGGCTTTCTTTAGAGAACACAATTCCCCGAAGGGTCTCATATCATACTGTCTGCATCGAGTCTGTCCTACTTGCTCTTCTGGACAAAGTGAAAGAGCTCCCATTTTCAAGTGGCTGGGAGAGGTTGACAGCCAAAGGAATGTCCCCAAGGTCACCCAACTTGTTTGGTGTCTAAGCTCAGTTCGAATTACTAGTGCTGGCTCCACTCCTCAGCAGGTGCAGTGTGACAATACGCCAAATTCTTTCACCGTTGCAGTTTTTTTGTGTCCTTGTCGTGACATTTCTGGGAGTATATAAAACAGTACAACATCCTCTGTCCCCATAACCATGTGACGCCCTTGTCATTCTCTAGGTGCCCAGATTCATTCTTGTTTCCCTTGCCAAGGTACTCACATGTCTTTAACAACACCTTTCGTACGGCTTCCTGATAGCGCTTGTGGCTGTTCCGGTGTACGGAGTAATTACCATCTTCGGAGACAATCGGTGGAAACCTAGAGGACCCTGCATCCTTCTGGTCTGAAATGAGAAGGCTCATTTTGAGTACTTGGCAAATGGGGCTACTTTATTCTTTGATTTCCTGGTCTCCATGCCAACAGGGTACATAGCAGGGATCTTTCCTAGCTCCTGACATTCAATTCTCAGCATCCCAGGAGTCAAGTTATCAAGCCTGAGATAGAGGGGAAGGAGGAAGAACTCAGTGTTCACAAGAATCCCTCACCCCTCCTCTCTGACTCCCAGATTTTGACTGGCTTCCCACTAGCCTCGGGGTTCTGGATAGATATTTAGGACTAGCACAGGTGAAAATAAAATGGTCTCTAATCTGGGCGTAGACTCTCCCGAGACCGACATGCTTATAGAACTTCAAATGGATTGAAAGGGGGAATTATTGTTGAGTCCTAGTGGATAAGTAATTGCTGGGCCTAAGCAGAATCAGGAAGGTGCTTCAGGCTGCAGGATGGCAAATGCTTCAGAAGTGTTGGAGAACGAGGACGCTTTCAGTCAGCTGGGACCTGGATGTGGAGAAGGAGGGGTGGAGGGGTGGGGTCTGGGAAGGTCATTCAGGAATTAGCTCTTACCAAGCAAAGCTTGCACTTCACAGAAGACCGACTCCACCTCACCTGGCCTCCCAAGGCTAGGCGAAGCAGGCAAGGCTTAAACACATCTAAATTTTAATTTTCTTTTGAGCATCTCACTATTTAGCCCTGGCTGGGATGGAACTTGCTGTGTAGATCAGGCTGGTCTTGAACTCACAGAGCTCTGCCTGTTTCTGCTTTCTGAGTCCTGGGATTTAAGTCACGGTTTATGTTTTGAGGCAAGGACGAGGTTGCAAGGAGCATTTGCTGGTGTTGGTCACTGGGTCATTTCCTTTCTCCCAGCAGCACACAGAACTATGTCCTTGGCGACAGCACTGCCCCCCCCCCCCCCATGTCCAATGCAGTAGCCACTGTCTGCACCTCAGCACCTTGAAGAGGAGTGGGTTGTGACAACTTAGATGTAGAAAAGCATGACTTGGTCAGGGGCTGAGAAGAAGGCTGTTGTCTAGGAGGACGCCATGTTGTCACCCAAGGAATAAAGAGGAACTAGGCCCCTTGCCCCTTGCCCCTTGCCCCCTAGCTAGGCCCCTAATAAGTCTCGGCTCTTCATCTTATGTTCTAAGTGTCTCCGTTCTGTTTTTCCAGAGCCGTGGCTCTCACCCACTCGCTCAGATTTTTACTTTCCCTTCTTGTTAGTGTTCGTCGCAGACTAGATCAGTCTTTAGCATTCTCTCTGGAAACTGCTGAAGATCGCTGACTCATCTGAGGGGTGAGGGTGCTCCTTCTGTTGTGCAGTTCCTTTCCAACTTGGTCGTTTTCCCTCCTTTCTCTCCCTTGGCCTCACTCGTTCATCCTCTCTTCTCCTTTCTGTCCTCCAAAGGAAATCTTGAACGTTAAAAAACGGAGGCGATACCACCAGAATGAGGTGCAGTTTAAATGTGCCCTCTGTGAAGCTGAAGATCTAAGTGGGGATGGCAGTCCTGAATGCTTTGCCTGAGCTGGCGCTATCTGTACTTAATCGTAGGTTCCAGCAACGAGAGGCCACTTCCTGGAAATGGTATTATTTGAGCTGGTTGTTCAGCTTTAGGCAGGGTAAAAGTAGCAATATGGCCATGGACAGATAGCGGTGGATTGAGGAGCAATAGCAAGCGTGTTTCTAGTGGGTGTCGGGATCTGGGCTGAGAGTAAATTACGGTTCTAAACGCAGGTGACAAGCAAGAACGCCGCCTGGTCCTTAGGCGTCAGACTGTTCTTACTATACCACCAGACGAGGTTCTGTTATTTCTAAGAGCCCAAGCAGCAGGCTCCCAGCTTCCATATGGACGGCAGCTACGTCTGGAGTCTGCTCGACAGTCTCACCCACTTGGATGCCTGCCACTTGCTCCTCGGGTTGGTTTCTTCAATTTTTCGTTTTGTCAAACTGGGAGATATTCTTAGTAACTCATAGCTTCCCCCGCTAAATGCCCAGGTTTGATAAGGTTCCCAAGATGAAGGGTGGCAAGGGCGGGTAAGAAGCATGTCATGGTCACTGAGGAACGTTCTCAATAAAGGACATGATGAGTAAACTCCACTGCGATGGGGCGGCTGAATCAACATCTTGTTGGCAGGTGACCAACAGAGGTTCTTCACACAGCTAGTCGATGTCCTGTCCTAAACGATGCTCTAAAAGAAGCCATTTGCCACAAGTTAGGGCTGCCATGCGGCCATAGAGAATGCTTTGACTGCACCCTGAAGACATCCTTGGGAATGCAAGAGTACCTGGGTGGATCTGGTATTCATCGTAATTAAATGATGCAGAGTTTTCAGTTCTATACGCTGTCCTGGGAGCCAGGGATGCTCCCAGGATCTAGTTATCTATCCACACCGTGGCTCAGCGCCTCTGTTGGAACTGAGGCTGGTTGGCTCCAATGTTTTCAGTTGAGGAATACAGACTCAGTGACTCCTTGAAGCCTGGCTTCTAGACGATGGGTTGGTTTCAGGTTCTTGGGCCATAACGATGACAGTATCCAACACATTGTTTGCAGCTGTCTTGGTGTGCTGGTTACAAACCGTAATACCACGTACCATACAGGATCAGGATGAGAGAAAACGCTTTGGGATTGTACATAATATAGTGACTCCTGAAATGCTTGGCTGGCCCAGCAGTTATGAGTGCTAGCTTGCTGTGCTCTGTTTTTGGTTTTTCAAAACGGGGTTTCTCTATAGCTTTGGAGCCTGTCCTGGGACTAGCTCTTATAGTCCAGACTGGCCTCAAACTCCCGAGTGCTGGGATTAAAGGCGTGCGCCACCGCCACCACCACCGACTAGCTTGTTATGCTAACACGTGAGAACCAGAGTTCCTATCCTCACACCCACGAAAAGGGCTGCATGTAGCCCCATGCATGCCTGTAACTCCAACACTGAGGAGACAAAAATGGGGGCACTGATACTTGCTGACTACAATCCTAGATAAAAAGTGGGATCTCCAAGTTCAGCAAGACACCTGCCTCAAAGGAATAAGGTAAAGAGAGGACATCCAGTGTCCTCCTTCGGCTTCCATGTGAGCATGGGAATACTCATTCACACATACGTGTACACACATCATATACATATGGACCACATATATGTACACAAATAATTTTTTAACTTGAAAATTGAGGGGTCTTAATCAGTTAAGAGCACTGGCTGCTCTTCCCAGCACCCACATGGTAGCACACAGCTATCTATAACTCCATTTCTATGGGATCTGACACCCTCACACAGACATACGGACAGGCAGAATACTAATGCACATAAAATTAAAAATAAACAAATGATGCCATCTACAAGGTCATATCAAATGGTAGTTCAAATCCTTGAAATTGGCTTGAGCATATTAAGACAATGCTGAAGTATGTCCGGAGGGCTGTCTTGTACTTACTGTCTTTCCCGATGCAAGGTAATTATCTATGCTTTGGGAGGAAGTGGACATGAGCCCAGGGAACCAGGTCCTCAAGGTATGTTTGCCATATGGGGGCCAGTTCTTTGCCTTTGCATCTTTAGTGGCGAGCCTGCTGATTGTGAGTGTAGGGGAAGCAGATGGGGCATGAGCATCACAGGGACTTAGTGCTTCAGACTACGTAGGTAAAGTGGATTTTCTCGAGATAAAGACTGCTAATACGAATGCACTCTGCACGGCACTATTAAGTAGGAGATGGAGACACAGAGAAGTTTAGTCATTTGCCTGAGGTCACAAACTCACACGTGGCAGAAACATGAGTTTATCTGAGTAGTTCCCAGGGGCCTGACTGATCACACACAACCACTCCTTGAAATAGCTCCACCGAGGCTTCCAGAAGAGATGGAGAACTTGGGCTGGAAGCATCAGTCCCTTTATAGATGTGCACAGCTGGGTGGGAAGTTTCGGCAAGTGTGTGTGTTTGCTCACCTGGACCAGACTTGAGTTGGTAGGGGATATGACATCATTGCCTTGATTCAGAGGGAGAGCCCAAGGTCGCTGAGCTGTTCTGAATGTAGGATGTAATGTCCTGAAGTCAGCGTTGGAAACAGCAAGGACTGGGACTTGGTCACCCTCTCAGTGAGTTGGAGCAGCTGACTGGGGAAGAGCAGTGAGGAAAGACCCCTGTAGGAAAAGTGGTCCATCTGCTGTCAGTGTGGAAACGGGCCCACTCTGGAGGCTTCAACACTGCTTGTGAGTAGCGTGAACATCTCCCCAGCTAGTTTCCTGGGGTTGAAATATAGCGGCCCAAAGCAGTTACAAGTATGCATAGGTTTCACGATACAGTTCCATACAGTTAGTTGTTCTATACGTTACAAAAGCAGAGCGTCTCTGGCCAAGTTCATTGGCTGAACTGTGCCATATATGCTCCTGTTTGGAAAGCTAGACCTGCAGCGCCCTCTGCTGGAGCATACGGGTGGCATAGCTTGTCTCCAGGCGTATCTTGTCACCAACCTGGCGGCTCTGAGAGATCAAGAAACCTAGAGGGTTATGAGCAGAGGACATTGCAGGCAAGATTAAGAAAGCATCTTCCTCCCTCTGCGCTCTGCGCTCTCTCTCTCTCTCTCTCTCTCTCTCTCTCTCTCTCTCTCTGTTGGCTGTCAGTTCTTGCCTTACACCTTGTTAGAGACAAGGCATCTCTCGTTCACCTCTGCATACACAGGCTGACTGAACCATGTGCTGCCACAGATTCTCCTGTCTCTGTGCTATAGGAGTGTTCACGAGTTCAGGGGACTGAAATAATTAAGTTCCACGTGTCCTCGAACTCACTGCTTAGCCCGAGTTGCCCTTTTCACTCGAGGCAGGCTTCCTGCCTCGCCTGCCAGGTGCTGGGATTACAGGCATGAGTCATCATCACACATGGCTCACGTCTCCATTTACAGGTGAGGGAACAGAAGCGCTGCAAACCTGCATAGCATTAGCTTTCACACTACACTGTTCCGGTACCGCTAAGGCCAGTGCTCTGCCGTGAAAGATGAGAGATTGAAGACTGCTTCCCACCCACT